ATTTTTGCAAATATTCTTTAGGGGTTCGGGAACGTAGGATCATGGGTAGCAAAGCTTATTCACGAGATAGGTGGCAAAGTAGTTGCAGTTAGTGATATAACTGGAGCAATCAAGAATCAGAATGGTCTTGATATACCAGCTTTGCTTAGTCATAAAGAAGCAACAGGGAACCTAATTGATTTCGGCGGTGGTGATGTAATGAACACAGATGAATTGCTTACGCACGATTGCGATGTTCTTATACCCTGTGCTCTGGGAGGAGTTTTGAACAGGTACAAACCGTTATTATTAGTATGAAATATTATATCTTTGTTAATCTGAATAGCTTAGTTCCTGAATTTCTTTCCCGATTAAAGGGTACAACAACAAACAACATACCCAATATAATCCCAATATAATCCCACAAGTGGGGTCTCGGAAGGACGTAGAACGTTAGCAAGACCTTAGCCCTACCTTTGTGGACTAGTTGTTTCCGATAGACACTTGGTGAAAAGAAAAGTATCCTATGCAGGATTGTAAGAAAAAATAAAACAACAAAATAGATACAGGATATGTGTAACAATTGATCATAATAGACATTGAAGAATAAGAAATTACGCGATAACTTAAGATAATTACCAAAGAGGGCTATCCCCTACCTCTCCCTCATAAAGTGTAACAACACTCACCTTAGGCTTCTGAAGTTGTGGCATGTCTTGTCTAATCACCTCCTCCAGATCTTCTTCGGCCTACCTCTACATCTACCTCTTCTAGCTCCTGCAACAGAGAACCTCTCAGACCTCTTCACTGGCTCATCCTCAGACCTCCTCTTAACATGCACGAACAATCTTAGTCCCGGTTACCTAATCCTATCCGCCATGGAGGCGCTGCTACCTAGTAACGTATAACTTCGTCCTAATCCTATCTCTCCTAGTATGTCCACACATCCGTCTGAGCATCCTCATGTCCGCTATCTCTATCTTCTGAACGTGGGCATTTTTTAATGGCCAACACTCAACCACGTACAACAAAGTCTGTCTAACCACTCCTTTATAGAATTTACCTTTAAGCGTTGGCAACATATTCTGATCGCACTGTACGTCGGAGGCAAGTCTTCAATTCACCCTCCCGATAAAAGAGTGAGTTTAAAATCATTAAATGGTCAGCCTAAATGGTATAGTCTGAGAGAACCGTCTATAGGCCAGATTAGCATGACACAATTAGACTTATCTGTAACAATCATCCTCTGTAGGCAGAAAACATATCTAGAGAAGCAACACCGTTATAGAGAGATTTGACTCTAGCACTAATAGGTGGAGTCTTGTTCCTTATTTTATGTTCTTTTATTAAATCTGTACTGAAATGATATTGTTTTTCCTACATAGTTTTTCTTCGTAAAAAATTATACTTTATTTTGTTGGATTTTAGTTTTCACTATTGACAGAAATAAGTATGTTTTCCCCTGTTTAAATCTGTCTTTGTCTGTTCTGATTTTTCTGTGAAGAGAAAATGCTGATCATGTAAATGCCAAGTTCATCGTAGAAGCAGCAAATCATCCGACTGATCCAGATGCTGATGAGGTACCACTTTTGCAGGTTTTCATATCTGTTAGACTAGCATCTATGCTGCTCGAGACTCTTCAAAAATGTCAACGACGTGTGTTAGATCCTCCAAAAGTAGTACATTTTTGGAGGATCCAGTATGAAGTATGACAACGTTTTTGGATAGTCTGAGCAACGTAGACTTGGATGATAATAATTTCTAACACGTGACTTCCTTCTACAGATTCTGTCGAAGAAAGGTGTTTTAATTCTTCCCGACATATATGCCAATGCTGGAGGTGTGACTGTTAGTTATTTTGAGTGGGTTCAGGTAAAATCTATCTATACATGACATCTTTAAATTTTCCGCTTTATACTTGCAATGATATTTTGACCAAATCTCAAATGACATTTCCATAAGATATCAGAGTAATTAGTCAGACTTCTCTATAACAATCATCCTCTATAACAGCCTAATTTTCCTTAGAGCCGACTTTCGTATCATGTTATATCATGTTATATCATGTATTCTCTATAACGGTATCTTGCTATAGCAATCACAAAACATCCCATCAAACGACATTGTTATGTAGATGTTTGACTGTATTTAGTTGGAATTCTCTAATATTTTCAAGTAGTTTTTCCACATATAAGAATATAGTTTAGTAGGCAAGTTACGACGACTTTAAAATAGACGATAATCATCAGGTTCATAATTGACGACAACTCTTCATTGTTTTCTCTCATCAATCACGGTGTTCATCTGACTTGTACTAATAACACCCTTGTTGCATTAGAATTAGGCGCCCATGTTTTCACCGTTGTCAATGAATCTCTTCCATGTTCCGTTAGATATGTTCTCTTACGATTCTGCATTGACGAAAAACCTTTTCATGTGCAGAACATTCAAGGTTTTATGTGGGATGAAGAGAAGGTTAACAGGGAGCTTAAGAAATACATGACAAAAGCCTTTGGTAATCTCAAGAGCATGTGTCAATCTCATAGTTGCAATCTTCGTATGGGCGCCTTCACGTTGGGGGTGAATCGCGTTGCACGTGCAACACAATTGAGAGGTTGGGAGGCGTAAATATATTCGCCTATGTTGTGTTTAGAGACGAATAATCTTTTCCGTCCACAGCTAAATGTTTGAACGATCTTTCTTTTCTGGTAAGAAATGGTCTAATTTTATGAACATGGATGTTGTATATTCACTGGTTTTCCTTCTCATAACTATTATTGCTACATTTCTAAGCATGTTCGATACATTAGGAGGTCGTTTAATTCTGAGATATCTCACCTTATCCTATTTAATTCGGTATTATTTTACCTTATGGATAAATTAGTCTCATGATTAATAATTGTCTGTGAATCAAACGTCCCTTAATTGAAGCTATCAGATGCACTTGAAGGGATTTTTAGTTGAGTACACTTGTGGGCATCTAGGTGAATTGAATTAGCCTAACCAATTAACACTACGAAGCGGGGCTATAATTTGAAGCTTATGATTTTTAAATTTTAATTTTTTTTTAGTATGATTTTAGATTATTTCATCTATATCGATTTTTGCATTTTTCACGTCTCTAGATTCGAACTATGTGAGCTTTGATAACAATTTAAAGTTGTATCTTTTCATTATATAAACATAAGCAGAATTGCAACTTATATTAGAATTTTTGAATATTTAAATTTTAATTTTGAAAAATTAAGTTGGTTTAGTTTAATTAAACTTGGAAAAAATAATACTCAAATTGACTTTCAAAAAGTGAAAGTGATCGCATAAATTGCGCGAATAAAATTTGAACCAACAAGGATATAGATAAACACACACCCATTATTAACTCATATATATACCATCACTATATTTATCATTCTTATATAATAATATTTTACTATAAAAATCAAGTTTTTATCATCAAAGATTGTAGCGGAATAGTAAATATTTTTTCATTTTAAATTAAAAGTATCAGTTTAAATATTTTCATCTAGTATTTTGGCCAAAATATTTTAAATATTTATACATTACACCACTTTGACAAAAAAAAAATACATTGGTACATACTTTGATAATTAAAAATATTTCCATCTAAAAATTTCTGCATATTTGTAATTTCATTAGACAAAAACTTTCCATCTTAGCTTTCTTTTGACCTGAGATAGAATACTTTTGACATTATACTTGAAATAATTTTGTTATTTTTTATAACATTATAAAAATAAGATTTATTTTCATCTTTTTTTTTTTGTCAGATTTAAATGTCTTAAATAAATTCAGCGTAAAAATTAAAGTTATATTAACTATCAACTACAATTTAGTTGAGGAATAATAAGATCATTGGTATCCCATGAATATCCAACTGATTACATGTCATCAAGAGAGAATGTCCCTGTGTCAAGTTTCTATCGGGACAGATATAGCGTAAAAATTATAAATTTCATGTAAATTCAATAATTTTCTGATATATATGTATGCCTTTAAAAAGTTATAAAATATATAAATTTCGATTGTGAATCCATTAAATTGTATATTAATTATTTTAAATCATTATAAGTATCAATAATTTTCAAATCGTAAATTAACCTCTGATTTTGACATTTCTTTATTCAATTCAAAAAGAGAATTCTTTAAAGATTAACTTTTTTTCTCTCTTTGGATATGTTTGTGATGACATGTGTTAGTTTTAGGTTATAATACTTTCATCCAACTACACAAAAGTTAGGGTTTCAATCCAAGTCATGAGCGTTATTTGCACCATAGAAAGCGATGTTCATAGGGCGTTAAACATATAAGTCTAAAGGACCACATTAAAATTTAATTTCTCTGCTCTTAATTAAAATTATGAAAGTAAAAAATATTTTGTTAGCGAACATATTATGATTGTGATAGTCTATTCAATGCAAATTCAAATTAGTATGCAAAAGGACCATAATGAGAAGCAAATTAAATGTGTGTATGTCTTCCTCCTATCCATAATCAAATATATTGTACATGTGAATTAATTTAAATCTCAAAAGAAAAGAATGTATCGTCAGCGACTATCTTTACATCATAATCTATATGATATAAATTCAGTTTAATAACCTAACAAATAGGCAAAAGGGTCATCTTAAGAATCGAGATGTATGATCTATTGCCATCTCATTATAGTTAATTAAAAGTTTTGAATTTAAATTTTTTTAAATAAAGAATATTTCAATAGTGATTATTCATTTATTTGGCAAGGGGAAATTCAAATTAGTAGCCTAACAAATAAGGTGACCAGTTAGTGATCTCCACCGCCATTCTCCCACTTTAGATATATATCAAAGAATTATATATAATACTTGCTATCCCATTTTCATGTTCTCGACAAGTGCATGTATAAGGTCCATAAATAAATAAATAAATATTCACTATCCTCAGGTACAAATCTTAAAAGTCACAATTTTGACCAACAATAACAAGAAGAAAAAGAAGAGGACATTAGTATTACTACCATAATAATGCAAAATAACACTTCTCATTTCACTTTCATGATCATTTTCTTGATCTCACCTCATTATCTAGCCTTCAACACTGGTGGAGGAGATGGCGGAGATGGTGGAAGGAAGAAGACCACGTCGGAAACATCTTCATCCCCTAATGGTGGTGAAAGTGGTGCAACACGTGCACCTACTTGGGATAACAACTGGGGTAGGGGTTCTAGCCTCGGAGGAGGATGGGGTTATGGCTCTGGCTCAAGTAGGTCGCCTGATGGGTCAGGTCAAGGTTGGGTTTCTGGTTCTAGTGGTAGTGGTGAAGGTGGTTATGGTATTTATGATAATGATGGTTATGGAGCTAGAAATGATTTTAATGGTAATAATGGTGGTAGTTCAGGAGGAAGAGAACTACCACTTTCAGAATCATCTTCATCCCCTAGTAAAGGAAGTGGTGTAGCTCATGAACTAACTAGGAATAACTGGGGTTGGGGTTCTAGCCCTAGCGAAGGATGGGGTTATGGCTTTGGCTCAAGTAGGTCGCCTGATGGGTCAGGTCAAGGTTGGGTTTTTGGTTCTAGTGGTAGTGGTGAAGGTGGTTATGGTATTGATGATAATGATGGTTATGAAGCTAGAAATGATTATAATGGTAATAATGGTGGTAGTTCAGGAGGAAGAGAGATACCACTTCCAGAATCATCTTCATCCCCTAGTAGAGGAAGTGGTGTAGCTCATGAACCTAACTGGGATTATAACTGGAGTTGGGGTTCTAGACCTAGCGAAGGATGGGGTTATGCCTCTGGCTCAAGTAGGTTGCCTATTGGATTAGGTCAAGATTGGGATTTTGGTTCTAGTGGTAGTGGTGAAGGTAGTTATGGTACTGGTGATAATGATGGTTATGGAGCTAGAAATGATTATGGTGGTAATGATGGTGGTAGTTCAGTAGGAAGAGAGATACCACCACCAGAATCATCTTCATCCCCTAGTGGAGGAAGTGGTGTACTCATGGACCTAATTGGGATTATAACTGGGGTTCGGGTTCTAGCCCTAGCGGAGGATGAGGTTATGGCTCTGGCTCAAGTAGGTCGCCTAATGGATTAGGTCAAGGTTGGGGGTTTGGTTTTGGGTTCGGGAGTGGGTCAACTTTTAGCAATGGATATGGTTCTGGTTGTGGTGGTGGCTCAAGTGGCTATGATAGTGACCTAGCGCCATCAACTTCAAAAGAGATACATAATCTTGGGTAATCAAATATATTTGATGTGTATAACTTGAAAAAGAAAAACGTACTACTTGTGACATGTTATATGTTACATCTTACATGGTATTAATCGAGTATTATAAATTTAATGTATGTGTTATACATATATATATATTATTGTGAATGGAACGACTTGGTAAAATTTACAATCTTGACTTATTGTAACAGAAAAGGTTAACTTGATAACTTTTAATGCTATTGATATATTATTAATTGAATCTTAACTAAAAATTATATAAATATAAAGGAAGAATGCACGAGTACCTTTAGACAATGATCGAAATCTCAGAAACACACATGAACTAAATTAAGGTCTTATTATCCCCCTCTTCCTGCCCCCCCCCCCCTCCGACTTATTTTTTTGTAATTTTGAGCACCTTTTTTGACTTACGTGACATTCAAATATCTCTCACGCGTCTCAGTTGCGTGGAGTCACAAAATGTGTCACGTAAAACTAAAAATATATAAAATTACAAAATAAATAAATTTAGGAAATAATAAGACTTTAATTTAATTAAAATATGTTTCTGAAATTTTGATCATAATTTAGAAATACCGAACATTTTCCCTCAGATATAAATATATACTATAAAGAACTAGTCCTCCACTAAAGATGCCACTTCATTGATTTCGCCTTTTTACTCTCTCAATTTCTTCTTTTCTAATTTTTCAAATATTTAACCAATACTTGAGTTAAAAAAAAAAAAAAAAAAAACTATAGCTTATCGCGAAAAAAAAAAACATTAAAAGATGTATAGATCATCGAGCGCTACTCGTGTTTCAGATGATTATAATTTTACGAGTTATTATTCATCGTCTTCTAATTCATCGTCCTCGTTAACAAAGGTGTCTCCGGCGCTACGAGCATTATCTTTAGAAGCTAGTGAATTATTACCAATACATGAACCACTCTCTAATATTTCAAAAAAGGAAAAATCTCGTGCAAAATTTGCTGAAAATGCTGTTCATATAATACCTTTTGTGTTATTATTGTGTGGATTTATCCTATGGTTTTTGTCTAATCCAGGTAAATTAATTCTATACATTATTTTAATGTTTTTTTATTTATTTTTGAATTATTAATCAATTAATTAAATAAAATTGTTTTTTTTTTAATTTTAATTTTGTAAAATAGATATTGATACACCAATATTGAAAGGGGAAGGAATTGCTACAAGAATAGAAGGATTGACTATAGAGGGAGATCTCGATCCTCCTGATGGAACGCATGTTACCAATTTACCCCTAGAATCGAGGGATGTCGATTTGATAAAACAAGGGCAAAGTCGTCAAAAATCATATACCGGAAAATGATTTTATTTTATTTTCACTTGTATTTACACTCTTTTTTTTGGGGGGATAATTTGATACTAAGTTCTTGAATATCACTCCAAATATGGAAGTTTCATTTTGTATATGTATTGATTGTCTTTGGAAAAAGTTCAAATTTATATGGTGGATCAATGAAGAGATATCCGTTAGTATCAATTTACGTGACACTTTTCGTTTTTCAAGAGTTTTTGAGCATGAAATCTTTGAAGTTTTTGAAATGAAATATATATATTTATAAATCACGTTAAAAGTACTAAAAGGCACGATAATTGTTAATTCAAAAAAATTAAAAAATATATGAAAATTTAAACTTCTTTAAGTCTCGAAGTACATAAATTAAAACAGAAAAAATATTATCTTTTAACTCTTTCTGTTTAGGCCAATGAAAAAATTACGTATAATAAAGGTTAAATAAGAAATAATAAATTTGATTGATTCAAACTATTAGAAAAAATCGAAACAATTCAATTTGAACAACAAAGGACAATATAATTAATCAACCTATAACGATGAGTTTGTTCAAGTTGGAGTTATCTTTGTGGCTTAATTCTTTAGTTTCTCAATCTTCTTCAAATGAGCTTCACACTGATTACAACCTGCACCAGCAGCCTAGAGGCTAGAGGTGTATTAGTAGCTTACATTAGGGCGATAAAAGATATACATGATGGAATTAAAACCCGAGCTAGAACGATACCAAAGATTTATTCTTAGCCTATTTAATTTTTATGTTTTTAGTGATGGATGAATCAACGTGGTATATTCAAAACGAAATGTCATGGTGTTTGTTAGTCGCAAAAGATATAATACCTAATGAGCACACGTCAGAGTTAATGCAAGGTTGAAAGTGTGGAGACAAACTCTGTAATCTAATAAATTCAGGTTAAGTAAGACTAAACGAAATATTTAGAGTGAAAATTAAGCGATACAATACATGACAAGTGTAGAAATGAGACTTGACACACGTATTAACCGAAAAAAAGAGATAATTTTCAAGTATCTCAGACTTGTAAATCATGAAAATAGTGAATGAATGATGACGTTACACGTCATATTGGTGCATCATGGTTTAAGTTGCAACTGCTATCTATCAGACTCTTATATGGTAAAAAGATGTCAAGCTAACCAACGTGATGGTTAGACAAATTTTATTGTATGGGGTGAACTGCTAACCCATCAAAAACTCTTAACATTCAGAAAATACAAGCCGTGCAAATAAGAATATTGTAATAGATATGTGAGTATTTTTGCGATTAAAATCAAATAAACACACAATTAAATTGTTCATAAATTATATTTAGAGGATCATTTTGAACTTATCCAAACATAAAGTACCAATTTTTATCATTTTTCTCATCCACCTTTAACAACTATGTGGTCCAAATAATTTGAATCAATTAATTAGTTGGTGCCCAATATATATATATATATATGTTAATTAATAATTAATTACTCTACTTTCACAAATTTTGATCTTTCTCTCACGCGCTGTCAACATTTCTCCTCGGCGATTTCCGGCGACGATCCGATTTTCCGGCGATATCCAACCGTAGAGAACAGAGACATCCTGCTTCCCTTCGTCTTGGATCAGTCGACTTCTTCGTTTCGCAAAATCATGAATCCCGAATAGTTAGTTACCCTTCCTTTCTCTTTTGTATTACATTACTAGCATTTGTTTTTTGTTGATAAAATTGATCGAATATGTTGATTTATGCTGGATTTGTTGATTTTTCTCTTTAGATCCATGGGTAGTTTTAATATTAGGCAATTTTTCTTTGTTTTGATAATCGTTGTGTTCAGGACATGTTTAATTCTCCGGATTCGGATAATAGATAGGAATAAACTTGAACCTGAAACACCTTTGAGTGCTAATGTTGGTCATATACTTTGATTCTTATTTGATGATTTACGAGTTTTGGCTGTTAACAATTTGGTTTTTAGTTTCTGCCTATGATCCAAATCAATTTGGAAAAAGGGAGTAATGTGAGTTCTATCTGTGCATTCATTTATCTTGCAATTGTGCTTGTTGGCTGTAGCAGGCTGCCCTCTGGATTGGATTAGTCTAGGTACATACAAGTTGGATAAGACACTACCATAATCAGAAGATAAGAAAGGAACTGTCTTTATCACTTTTTTGACTTAGTGGAGGTGATCATGAGGATTTGGTCATCTTGGCAATTTACATGGAGTAGCTACCGGGTTCCTCTATCCACCAAGGCTTTTGCAGAGATAGGCTGCCACTGCAGATAGGAAGAAATTACCTAGTGTTTTGCTTACACTAGAATTTGAACTGCGACCATATGATTCTCAACCTACTTCATTTGACCCTTAGGGCCACACCCTTGGGTGCAATTTTCAGTTGATTCTTGCTTGATTACTAGTTTACACCTTGGCCTAAAGATGACAGAAGGTTTACTGGATGTGACTTGTTTTTTAACAGTTCCCTTCATGAAAATCTATCTGCCTATAAGGTTTTTTAAATTTTCAGCTCAAATGGAACTTTGCCTATAAGGTTTTTCTTATTTTCAGCTCAAATGGAACTTGACACCGTCTCTTCTTATGCTTTCTGCAGTGATTATTTGTTCAAACTTTTGTTAATAGGAGATTCAGGTGTTGGAAAGTCATGTCTTCTCCTGAGATTTGCCGTAAGTATATTCATCCCACTCAATAATGTCTTACTTTTAGTCACTATTGCATTTGAGTTGAATGTTACTTGCATGATTCTTATAATGGCTGATATTAAGCAATGAAACTAGGATATTGCCCATGTTGATATGTGCTAATGTATTTAGCAGCAGATATGAAGGTTGCCCTGTGTCGCACAATTAGGTCATGGACATGCATGGTCATGACCATCCTTGTGAAATTCACATTTCTAGTTTATTTGTCTTTTGTTTGATATCGAGGTCTGACCCTTCAGTCAAAACACATTTGGATAAGCTAATAAAAGCTTAAAGCAACAACTGAGAGTTGGAAAATAGAGAAAAGGAAGAAGTTACCAGTTTCAAAAAAAAAAAAAAAAGGAAGAGAGCAACTGCCAGCATTTCTTGGGCTGTGTGGAAAGAATGAAATAATATATGCCTTGAGGATAAATGTACAGTCAATTTTTAGTTCAAATGTCTGTGGTTGTTTAAATCCTGGTGTAAATTGTCTTCTGATATTGATGTGAACTTTATTACTGATGCCATTTTACCAAGTTTGGCATTTGTGATGGGCATTGGATTTAATGGTTTTGGAAATTTCTTGTTTTGTGTCGTATAAATTGATTTACTGTTTCCTTATCTTCTGGTGCAGGATGATTCTTATTTGGACAGCTACATCAGCACAATTGGTGTTGACTTTGTAAGACAATTGATACTAGTGAAGTTTTTACATATACAATATTCTTACAGTTGGTGAAGTTGCTAATTTTATGTTGCAGAAAATACGTACTGTGGAGCAAGATGGGAAGACTATTAAACTTCAAATTGTATGGTTTTCTTGTCTTACTTTTTTCTTCGAGAATTGACATATGAACACTTCTTTACGATTGAAAATGATCTGAATTTATGCAGTAGTTTTTGTTTCTGTCATCATGCATTTTCAAAGTGAAATTTAAAGTCCTCGTCTGTGTTACATTTGCCAGTGGGACACTGCTGGACAAGAACGTTTCAGGACAATCACAAGTAGTTACTACCGTGGGGCACATGGCATTATAGTATGTTTGCCTGACTCCTCTATAAAACAATCAATCGGTTGATTTTTTTCTTTTTTGCTTGATGAAATCCTTTTTTTCTTGTTCCTCTTTTTTGAATATTCTGGCAGATAGTTTATGATATAACTGATCAAGAAAGTTTCAACAATGTTAAGCAATGGTTGAGTGAAATTGATCGCTATGCAAGCGAAAACGTGAACAAGCTTTTGGTTGGAAATAAGTCTGACTTGAATGATAACCGAGCTGTGTCTTATGATACAGCAAAGGTTAAGATCTAGCATTCTGTTCATTTTCCTTTTTGAGTTTGTCCTTCTAGTACATTGCTTCTAGATTGACTGAAATAGTTCTTGATTCACATACAAGGCTTTTGCTGATGAAATTGGCATTCCATTTATGGAGGCAAGTGCAAAGAGTGCCACTAATGTTGAACAAGCTTTCATGGCAATGGCAGCTGAGATAAAGAATAGGTATTTTCTGTTTCATTATTCCGGTTCTGTTGCCACTTCTTCGGGTTTGGGTGGGGGGTTCTGTCTTCTGTGGATTAGTGTTTGACACTTTTTACTACTTGATACAGGATGGCAACCCAGCCAGCATCAAACAATGCAAAGCCACCCACCGTGCAGATACGGGGACAACCTGTGAACCAAAAAAACGGCTGCTGTTCTTCTTAGATGTCAGATTCTGCTTGCTAGAATTGCTTCTAGAGTCACCATTCCAATCGCAATACATTGCTTTCGAAGCTGTGTCAGTTCCATTCTTTTCATCTACAGGTATCCAAATGGCCTATACAAACCACAAGAATTGCTTTTCAAGTATAGGACTCTTTCTCCCTCCTTTGATATTTTCACTTCGTTGCGTTTCCTTGTCTTAGTTGCAGTGATTATTTCTGCAGTTTCAGGCATAATATATGTTTTAGAAGTTGGTTTTTTAGATGGGGATATATAGTGGATAGAACTGTAACGCTGTTGTACTTAACTATTATGAACTTCAAATAAATTGCTCAGCCAAAATGTTCTTGTGAAACATTTCGTATTTTTATGTTGTGTGGTCTTGAAACAACAACAATTAGTCCAGAGTCGTGCCATGTAGGATCTTATTCGGGGGAAACGCCCCCTACCAAGAATTTTTTCATAGCCAGAAGTCAAATTCGAGCATCTCGAAGTATTTTTATTTAATGAAATTTTGAGCTTTCATAAAAAGAGATCATGGTATTTATTTGAACTTATGATAATCTTTCAATGTGTTTATTGGTGGCTTATGTTTCAATAATTTTGAAATACTACATGCTTATAGTGAAAAGTGCTAGAAATTTTGTTCTTTCATATACTCTTGTTGTCTACTGGATTTTGGATTTCGAAAGTTAAATGAACTTTTCTTTGATCATAATTGTTTTTATGTCTTTTAAATATTTTTAAATTGTCAATTATTGTAACATATTGGTATGTACTTTTCAAATATATAATTT